ATTGATTATCGTCATCAATCTATGATATGAGATCACAATATCAATATTGAATTATATCTTAGTTTAATTTGTACTTTTCTCATTAAGTTTATAGAATTAAGTTCGGTAGTTAACTTTACTTTTTAAAAGTAAAATAAAAATAATATCTCATTGATAATTATAATAGAGATTTTATTGCTTATTGATTGTTATAATACTGTATTGTAAAGCCTATGGAATTCTAACTAGAACTTAATAGATATGCATCCTATGATTATTTATCTTCTCCATGCATCGATTGCCTCTTGAATTGTTTAAGACGATGAACATTGAATTGATTTCGATTGAATTCAAATAGGATATTCGAAATATTTAAACTAAATATTTTAAAAAATTCATTGATTATTCAAAGTATTTATTATTATATATATAAATACGATTAACAACATAAGAATATCTATTCAAATATTTATTCACTAGTTCAATAAACAAGACAAATATTAACAATTAAATTAAATATATTGAATTTGTTTCATTTTGAACAAAAAAAATTTTCATTTAATATTTCTAAAATCGTTCATATAATTATATTTATTTTTTCAATATAAATATAAAATCAAATGTGAAAAACAAATTCGATTATTTATTCATTAAAAATAAATCAATATCTTTAATTAAATATTTAATATTTACTATAAAATTTTATTTCAATCGCATTTTATTTTACAAAAATTTCCATCAATTTTAAATGATCAGTCAAAGATCATTGATAAAAAGAGAAAAAGGTCGCTTAGCTTCTATCAATAAAATCACATTGAACTACATTTTAGTTTATTATTTCTTAGTTAATTGTTCGTCTCAATATTGAGAGGTGAGTTGATCATGGTGATGAAGATCTCTACAAAACAAAAAAAACAACAACATATATTTAATAGATTGTTAAGAAGTTAAGTTTCAATACTATCCAATGTCTTTACCTTAAAGTCTTGTGGAGATGAACGATACATTATTAAGAAAATATCTGACAATGTTAATGTATATAGATCGATAGAATGCCAACAATCTATATAATAGAAATCTAAAACATAATGTCAAATGGTCTTAGATGTTTGTTATCAATGTGTAAAATGACACTCTGTTTTTTTTTAAACAATGTATCACAAAGCTTTCAAGATGTTGATTATTAGAATCAGATTGAAAGAAAAAACAGAAATTTTCCTTAAGAATCTATCATAGCTTTCCTACTAGAAGAAAAACTCACATGACAATTTTGCCAAATTTGTCTTTTCGAAAAGTCAATTATCAGTGTTTTATTCAGTTGTTTTTCTCATTAATTCCTATAATATCAGTGCGATCTAGAAAATTCGATCGAATCTAAAAATGTCTTCCGATCGATCTTTTAAGTCGTCGATCTCACATCTCTCTCTCTCTTATACCTTCTAGACATCATCACTACAGTTGCACTTTAACTTTAAAACTATTTCGATACAGTACATTCAGTTAAAATTAATAACTTAAAGCTTTAGAATTAATTCGATACATATTATTCATTTTCTGAAACTCGTTTTTATTTGACTTAATTAGAAAATGGGCATAATGGACGATTGCAGACTCACTTAGAAGTCTTCCAGAAATCGATTTTAATTTTCGGAATGCTGATATATTATATATGCCATACAAAGCAAGGAAGATATCCAAAGCGTTATACTCTGTAACGTCTGTGGAAGGTACACTGATCAGATACTCCATCGATGCATCAGATCTAGATGGTGATAGATGTCCTTCGACTCCTTTTGCGGTACCTTCACCGGCTGCGATGATGTTTGTTTTTTGTGAAGTTCGTTCGATCTGCGAAAAATGAATTTTGATTTCGGGAAAAACATTTCATTTTCCGAAAATTAGTTGACTTAGTTGGAAGCTTTTATAAAATATCATATGTTAAAGTTGAAGTAGATTTTTTTCACCAGTATTATTTTTACAAAAAAAAAATGGTATTTCTTTCATTTAAAAAATTATTTATATTAAAAGATAATTTATTCACAAAAACAAAAAAATCACATTTTCAAATACCTTTTGAATGTTAAAGTTAAAAATGCTCTCATTTTTATTATACTTTAAATTTATAGTTAAAGTGCGACGTCTTAATCGAGACACTCTTAGCATTTCCTTACATAAAGTCCAATAGAAAATATACTACTTTTACCATTTAGTAACATCCGATGAAAAATTCTTTTCTCTAATATTTCATAGACAAAATAAAATAAAAATGGAAAGTAGTTTACTTTTAACACGAAACAATATATTTTGTATACGAAACAGTGTATGTGAATGAGATCACTGTATCGTAAGTAAAATTTTACCAATCATCAATATAAATGTCCTAAAAAACAGTGTCAAATAAGAAAGAGTAACAATATTTGAAAGACAGATAAATGTTTAAATAAATCTTAAAGATTAACTATTAGATATATGAATATCGAATACATCACTATTAATAACTAAATTTAGAAGTTAAAAGGTTACATACAATGAAAATAAATATATACATATATTCTAAGTAAGTGTCTCCTTGACACTTTTTTTTCATGAACAATGTGCAAAATAGAGTTTCAACCAAATATGGCAGGGTTCTTGGATACTTTTTCATCTATGGTGGAGCCATGCTGTTAGAAAAACTGGATGCCAAAACGATGTTTGAAATAGATTGTTATGATTCAATGAATGAGTTTTCTCTATTATACCAACAGACAGAATGAGTAGAAAAAACAAGAAAACTAATTCTCTTCGTCTCTCTCTCTATCCGATTGGGTTGATCACAAAAATTTTCTTTTCTCCATTGTCTGTCTTACATTTGATCTATGTTTTCAATGAAAAAAATGCTTCGTCTTTTTTCCTTTTTCTGTGCATTTCATAAGAGTGTAGGTTTTGCGCTTTTTTTCTCCAATAGTCATATCAGGCGACAGTGACATCGATACTCATGATGTAGAAACCCGTATTGGTCATTTAGAAAATAATAATCATATGAAATTTTCGGTTGTTTTTTATAAGAAAATTCCAGAGGTGTTCAGAGGTCGCCAAAGTTGGGGGGGGGGGGCGATCATCTAGGAAGTCGATTCACAATTTTTTTCTAAAAGAGAGCTAAAAAAAGAAAATTTTTCAACATTGGGGGGTCATCCCCTCCCATCCTCCCACCTGGGGTCGGGGCACTCCTGGAGAATTTTAATATAATATTCAATTGTTTGTTTAATTTAATAAAGAAAAACAATTATTTGATTGTTGTGTTCTATAAAATATAATAAAATAATAATATTCAATTATATTTATTATCGTTTATTGATTATTTTAATTGTTTCCATATTGAAAATGACTAAATAAATAACTGACAAATAAATTGTTTGAAAATGTTTAATAAATATATTAACTTCGATATAAATTATTGTTAATTATTGAAGAATATCTATTAATTAATAAGAATAGTATTGTTTTTTTATTGAATAAAACATTTGTTAAATTAAATCTCAATATTGAATAAAAAGGAATGTGTTTTGTTTTTTGTTGTTCAACAATAGATCTATAAAAGATAATTTAACTATAATGATCGATATTTTTTTAAAATAAATATTGAAATATTTTTGTAATAAATTGGAAATATAATTGTAAAAAAAGGTTCGAGTCTATAATAACAATAGATATTATTAATATTTTATTTCAAAATAAAAAATATTGATTTCAAAAATGGTTATTAAATATAGAATTTTCTTCAATAGATATTTAATTATAAAAAAATTTTACAAAAAAATTATTAATAAATATTTATTAGAATTCAAAGAAAAGCTTTAATATTCCTTTTGTTTGTTAATATCATTTTAATTGTTTTTTTATGTTTAAATTGTTGATTTATCTCGAAAAAAATCTCGAATAAATAAAAAGCAAAAATAATATTATTTTATTTAATCAATAAATGTCTAATTAGAAATAAAAAAGAATGAAATATAAAAATATATCTGATTATATTCTCTATATGAATTTAATATAGTCAATTAAGTTGATTATTTATTGACGAATAGAATAAACAAGTTTGATCAATAATGGATATATTTTTAAAAATTTCATATTCGTTGATTATATTTATATATGTTAATATTAACTTAAAACAAAAAAGAAAAACGTTTATTTGATTAAACAATGACTAATTGATTATTATTGAATTTTTTTAAATATCATCGAATAAAGATAATAGAACAAAAAAAAGAAAATATGTTAGATTTTTTTTTAATTAATAAATGAAAGTATTGATAATAATTAATATTGAATATTTATTTTATTGATATTATAGTTAAATAAATTAAATATTGAACTTTAACACTTGTTTATAAATAAATATTCATTCATATTTTTATTTGTTTAAAAATGTATTAGAAAAAAAAAATCGTATTTGTATATATTATTATAGATAGTTGTTGAAAAATAAATAAATATTGAATTAAAGATAAATAATTATAATAAATAAAATATGTTGAAGAAAAAAACTAGTTAAATATTTCATTGTAAATATTTATAAATGAAAGAGATGATAAAATTATATTGAAAATAAAAACGAGTATTTCGTATATTTAATATTGTCTTATCAGGGTTTGAGAATTGTTAAGGTATCGGAAATATTTGATAAAATGAATATTGGTTGATTGTTTGCTTGAAAAAAAATACTGTTTAAGTAATGTTAGTTTTATTGCATAAAATAATTCGATTTTTATTTTTATTTTTTTTTTCTTTCAAGTACCAATGTTTGTTCTTGAAAGCGATGGCAAAAATTTTTTAAAATCAACCTTTACTTTTAAACATTTCTCTATGTTTTAAAACGGGAGAGAGAGAGTGTGTGTGAGAAAGAAAACGTCGTCGTCGTCAGTTTCTTTTTCTCACTTCATAAACCAAACAAAAATTTTCAAAATTTAATGTTAACAACAATAAAACGAGTCGTTTTAGTCGTTGTCTTGGTTTTTTAAAAAACAATAAAAGCAAGAATGTCTCTCGTATCTCCATCAGCTATTCTTGGATATGATCACAAACAATCAACATCACAATTAAATAAGAAAATGATGGTATTACCACAAATTGAACATCCATCAAAACGAATTGATTCAGATGATAAAAATTCATTAGATATTCGTGGAAGATCACGAGATGGTTATGGAGATGGAAAATTAATTCGAAATGAATATTCAACTAATCAATCAGATCGTCATCGTCGAAGATCATCTTCATTTAAATATAATTCGAATAATCGAAAATATTCACAAAATATTGATGATATTGATGAACATATTAATACTCCTATTAGACAAGATCGAGATCAAGTTCGTTTACCCATATTTGGTAAGTATTTTATTTTATTATTTAAGAATATATTTACTAATTAAATAAATAATAAATAAAAAAGGTCGTCGAACAGATAGTAGATCATCATCATCATCATCATGGGATTATAAAAAAGATAATAATAATCGAACATCTCGAATTGAAATTGATGAACTTGAAATGATGTTAAGAGAAAAAGTTCGTTCACAATTACATGATGTTCGAACTAAATTTCGTCATGCCGCTCAAAATGATCCAAATGGAAAAATATCTCGTCAAGCTTTACAACATTTAATTGCAACTATTTTTGGAACACAAAAACAAATTGGACCAAATCAAATTGAAAAATTATTAGAACGATTTAATCTTAAAAATTTAAATAAAATAAGGTAAATAATATATATTTTAATATTTATTTATATTAATATTAATAAATATAGTTTTGATGAATTTCTTCAATCATTATATAATGGTGAAGAAGATCTTCCTGATTGGATATATAATCAAAAATCATCACGAGAAGAATCATCATCATCAAAAAGATCAGCAGAACAATTGTTTATTATATTAAAAGATAAAGTTCGAACGAAGTTAATATTTAATTTAATTTTTCTATTTATTTAAATATAATATTTTACTTTTAAATTAATTTTAGACATAAAGATTTAGTTAATATTTGTCCTTCATTGAATGGTGGACCATCTTCAAGAATATTTAAAGCACAATTTCATAATGCTATTATCGATATGGGTTATAGAATGAAGGATAATGAATTTGATAAATTATGGGATAAGTTAGTTAAAACATTTTTAGTTTTAGTTTCTTTTTCATAAATCTAAATATTGTTTTTTATTTAAAACACAATAACAAACAAAGATTTGATACAGATGGATTCAAAGCAATTAATTCGGATAAATTTCTAAAAATTTTAAGAAATGATTCAATTGGACAAGTAGAAGAAGAAGATTCAAAAACAGATAGAAAAGAAAATGTTGATGAACAATCATTTTCTTCTCGATCAAGACATATTCAATCTTCTCATACTGATTCTGATTTAAAAACACCTCGTCCTTTAAGTACATTTATTTTATTTACACGTTTATTATTATTATTATTATTATTTATTTTATTGTTTAGATTCTCGTGGACAATTAGATGAAAATCAAATTCAAAAATGGCTTAATTATAAATTTCCTCAAGGATTTTCTCAACTTGAAAAATCACTTGAACGTTTAGATACAAAACAAATGGGAACAGTAAGATATATATATATATATATATATATTATATTGAATTTTGTTTTTATTTTCTAAAGTTACACCGAGATCGATTTCTTGAAGAATTAAAAAGATTTGGTTTAAAATTAGAACCAAATCTTTTAGAATTTTTTTTAAAACGATTAAATGTTGATTTATCATTAACAAATGATGGAATACCATATCATGATGTTATTAATGCATTTAAACAAAGATCAGATCCAACTAGAAGAAGAATTAATGCTGATAATCAATTGTTCGTTTATTTTATTTTTATTTTTGTTTTTAAAAGAATTTTTCTTATTTATTATTTAATTAAAGACCTCCAGAAGAAACTCGTCAAACATCATTAGAACGACAAATTGATAATGCATTATCAATGAATTATGAACAAGTTCGAGATTTATTTTATCGTTTAGATAATTTACATAATGGAACAATTAATTCAAATGAATTAAGATCAATTATTGAAGATTTTATTGAATATACATTAAAACCTGATGAATATTATCAATTACTTAAAAAAATTCCAACGGATGATAATGGAAAAATTAAATATAAAGAATATTTAAAACAAGTTCTCGATCGAACACTTTATTTACAAGAACAAGAACAACAAGAACAACAACAAAAACTACCCAAGTTAATAGAAAAGAATTTTTTTTTTCTTCGATTTTAATTTAAATTGAATTAATAATTTAGAAAATCTCAATCTGAATTATTGAAAAGAACAACTAATCAACAAAAACAAAATATTGAAGAATTAAAACAAAAACGAGAAGAAAGACAATATCAATTAAATGAAAATTTCAATTCAAATATAAATAATGATGATCAACTAAGAACAAGATCAATTGATGAGGTTTTATTCTATTTTATTTATTTATTTATTTATCTTAAATAAATATATATTATTTTAAGCTTCGTGATATGTTAAAATTATTAATACGAAATCGTTATAAAAATATTGAAGATGAATTTAAAAAAATTGATCGTAGTTCATATGGAGAATTAACACAAGATCTTTTATATGATTTATTTAAACGGTTTGTTCACCTTTTTTTTTGTTTATTAAATAAATTCAATTTATTTGTTTAGTCTTGATATTAAACCTGAAGTAACACGTAATGAAATTGATTTAATTTGGTCTCGTTGTCATTTAAAAGAAAATGGACATTTAGATTTTTATCAATTTTTACGTGAATTTGGTTATACAAAACGTTCAGCACATTATCCAAATGCAAAACAAAATCCACCAAAACGAGGTGATGCTGATTTTTTATTAACATCAAGAAAATTATATGGAGATTCAGTTCTTGTTCATGGTACCGCACTTAATGCTATTCGTTCAAATTGGGATGATTTACGAAGAGAATTTACTGAATTAGATCCATATAGAACTGGTTATGTTCAATCTGATGAATTTGATGATATTTTAACCGAACTTTGTCCATCTGTTAATCAAGAAGATCTTGATATACTTAAATTTAGATTTCAAACACAAAATGATTCAAGGTAAATTTACCTTTTTTTTTCTTTTTAATTTCTATGTTTTTTTTTAATTTTAATAATTAAAATAATAAGAATGAATTATATTCGATTTTTAAAACATCATGCACCACTTCCTGAATTAATTGGTCTTGTTGATGAATCAAATAAAAATCCTTTACCAACAATACATGAAAAATCACCTCGTAGTACATCAGATCGATCCATTTTAAATCAAGTTTGTAATAAACTTCGAAGAAAAGTAATTTTATTTTATTTATTTTATTAATATTTATATGGATTTGGTTTTTTTTTAAATTTTTTTTGTTAGTTATCCGATTCTTATAAACAATTACGACGAACATTTAAACAACGAGATCCAACTAATTGTGGTTCTGTACCTGTTAAAGCTTTTAAAGAAATTCTTCATCAATATAAATGTCCTTTAAATGATGAAGAATTTTATACATTAACATCACAAATTGATACAAAAATGGATGGAACAATCGATTATAATTATTTTCTTCAACAATATGTCAAGAACAATTAGTTTTGTTTGTCTTTTCCACATAACTCCTTTTTTTTCTTTTAAATAAGACATTTATGCCAATTAACAATTACGGTGATAATAATAAACTTTTTTTTCTATTATACAACCGAAAAAATTCATATAAACACTAAAGATTTCTCATAGTTAAACGAGAGACTATTATCAATTGATCCTATCACTACAAAAGTAGAGATCTACATCATTGTATTAAGAATATTTTAACAATACCATCACGATAGTAACAGTTTTTTTCAATAAAACCATACAAAACTATAAATTCGCATTGACAGTAACACCATGAGACTGAATTAATTTGATAGATGATTAGTGACAATGATTCTAGTTCAACAGAGTCAGCTCAAATAAAATTCGAAACTTTTTTCTTAACGACTTATTGCAATGTGACAATATTTCATCTTGAATAGATATATATCATGCAAACTAAGCTGACTAGTTATCAATATCGGTACTGCTGCAGAATAGGAACATCCATATAATTACATCTATATAGAATAGGAAAAAAAACTATTGGTGCAGTACAAATAGAGAGTGATGTCATAATCCTGTTACAGCCCGTATCCATATTTATCCACAGCAATAACGCCATTACATAAAACGCATATCAACCCCATTACTATCCCAATATCTATTGACCATCTTCGGATATTGCCACATATCGATGGATTCAGTATGACCATGTCGTTCCATAAAGCGAAGTATATACTTCCAAGTTGAGGGATATGAGTGGATTTGCTGTAACGCCCCATTACACACAGCAAGCTTTCTATTTAGAAGCTGAGGGATATGTGTGGATTTGCTGTAACGCCCCCATTGCATACAGCACGCTATATATTTAGAAGTTGAGGGATATGAGTGGATTTGCTGTAACGCCCCCATTACATACAGCAAGCTATGTATTTAGAAGTTGAGGGATATGAGTGGATTTGCTGTAACGACCTCATTACATACAGCAAGCTATGTATTTAGAAGTTGAGGGATATGAGTGGATTTGCTGTAACGCCCCCATTACATACAGCAAGCTATGTATTTAGAAGTTGAGGGATATGAGTGGATTTGCTGTAACGCCCTCATTACATACAGCAAGCTATGTATTCAGAAGTTGAGGGATATGAGTGGATTTGCTGTAACGACCTCATTACATACAGCAAGCTATACATTTAGAAGTTGAGGGATATGCGTGGATTTGCTGTAACGCCCTCATTACATACAGCAAGCTATGTATTCAGAAGTTGAGGGATATGAGTGGATTTGCTGTAACGACCCCGTTACATAAAGTAAACCATGTTATTCAATCTACAGATTATAAAGGTAACGAGATGATTACAGCAAATCCACTCATATTCCTCAACTTCTAAATACATAGTTCCCTGTATGTAATGAGGTCGTTACAGCAAATCCACTCATATCCCTCAACTTCTAAATACATAGTTCATGTTACGTAACGAGGTCGTTACAGCAAATCCACTCATATCCATCAAGTTCTAAATACATAGTTTGCTGTATGTAATGCGGTCATTACAGCAAATCCACTCATATCCCTCAACTTCTAAAATACATAGTTCATGTTACGTAACGAGGTCGTTACAATAAATTCACTCGAGTCCCTCAACTTCTAAATACATAGTTCACTTTATGTAACGAGGTCGTTACAGCAAATCCACTCATATCCCTCAACTTCTAAAATACATAGTTGATGTTACGTAACGAGGTCGTTACTGTAAGTGATGATTGTATCAATATACTTTCGTTGTTCATTCTGGTGGGTATCGTGACGGCTGGTGGTTGTTACCCACCGTATCGGTATTATGACATCTATGCAAATAGAATATTGTTGTTATGATCACTTTTTTCGTCATCGCGAACACATCTATTTTCTTTCCCGCTCTGTACTAAGTATTTGTACTTATTATATATTTATCCATTACGTACTGAGTGTGTGATCTGTCAAAACTCCATCTAATTTTGATCAAATTTGATCAAAATTATGGTAAATCAATTACAATTACAGAACAATGGATATAGAAACAATGATCCAAGATATAGAAATCCGAATACAACAGCACCAGTCATGAGATCTTCGGATTATGAATATAATTTTGTTTCACATAATGATCAACTTTCTAAACACAGGCACAACATTCGTTCACACCCTCCTGCCCCAAGTTTAATGAATTTACAACCAGCAACCCCGTATCAGTCTTCAATGCGTCGTCACCGAAACGATTTCGAAGATGATGATGAATTTAGATTGGTTGAAAATAATAGAAATAAAAGACGCAGAAATCAACACGATCAATATGACAATGACCTAGAGAATAATGACAACAATCGTCATTTTGACCGTCCACAACAACAAACACTTCGTCCAGTTAATCATCGTTCTCCGACTTACACGAATCTACAACAGTCGAGAACAGACACTCTTCATTCAACTTTACATTCTAATCACCAAAATACTCAACCTCAACAATTAACAGTAGCAAACGAATCTACTCGTTATGCACAAAGTCGACAACCATTTTCACCTTTCGTCTTTCATTTCACCTCTGGAAATGTTAACGAAAAAGAGATTGCAAACGATTTAATAAAGCATTTCAAGGATGTACATCAAACAAATGTGTCATTTTCTAATATTCAACGTTCCACCTTGAAATGTGTTAATAACGAATATAACCATTTAGTCTATGTGAAAGACTCTGTATCATTCTGTGCTCTTTTTGAAACAAGAAACTGGCCTCAGCAATTGGGCAAACAAAACTTTACGCTGCAGTCTATTCCTTCCTTTCCAGGTCAACTCTCGTTAGTCATTAAAAATGTCGACTTACGAATAGACTTTAATGAATTTACTGCTGACCTCAAAGCTTCCTCTCCAGAAATTCATAATATTGTTTGTCTGAAAAACAAATTCCAAAACGAAATCAAACTGATTAGAGTAGAAATATTATCAGGTAAAAACGTGAAAAAATGCTGGAAAGAGGAAAAATCAACGTTAACTCGATGACATACGACGTCGATGAGTACCTTAGTCCAGTTACAGTACTCATCTGTAGTAAATGTCAAGCAATCGGTCACTTTCGTCGTCAGTGTTCACAAATAGAAGACACATGCAACGTATATGGTGTTCGCTGTCCTGATCTCAAGCAACACACCTGCTCTCTACAAAACAAGTGTGTCCACTGTGAAGGCGATCATCTTTCCAATAGCCTCAAATGCTTAGTCGTCAAAGACTATCGTGCTGCTTTGACAAAAAAATTGTTATCGTTCAATCATAGCTCGAATTTACAAACGTTAAGAAACAATAATAACATTTACAATTACAATGCAGCGAATTTTCCAATGCTTCCTTCATCACAACTACCTTCGATATGAAGCGCGACGAACTCGATGATGAAGAAAATCGATGATTTATTGAAAAGTGTAGGTGAAATGAACAAGAATCTTGAACGTATTGCAAGAAAGAATGATGAGATCGAACAATGAATTAAAGATAAAATAATAAGTGATGAGAAATTAATGAACGAAATCAAGGAGCTGAAGAAGAAGGATGAGACGTCGAATAAAAATATCATCCAACACGAATTGAAAATCACCAGACATGAACAGATGTTTACAAAATTAGTTTTACCTTGTTTGGATGAAATATCAAGATTTCTCTCTCATTTGAATTCCAATTTTAAAACTGCTGGTGGTGTTAATGATGCTGATTTCAACTCAACTATTAATAGAATTCGTGCACAAATACGAAAAGCAAACGATGGTAATCAACTTCAATGAATTTATCCTCTCTAGCTACGTCATTTTTTCCATGTGTTCCCCAAAATGTTCTAGATGATCGAGAACAATTCCTATGTAAAGCGCGAGCGAGTCTGAGCCACTTTGATTTTTCTCTATTATCTGAAATTTTGTACGAGTGGGAAAGCTCCCTCCTTTCCAACTGTTTCAAAAAAATGAAAATTTTTTAAGGTTCCTGACACCTCATCGATCGAAAAATCTTTACATATATTATCTTTCAATGTAAGAAGACTAGACCTGAGATACCAAGAAGTTGTTCTGCTCATAAACTCTTTCAAGTTTGATGTTATTATACTTTTGGAAACCAGATTTTACGACCTTTCTCATTGCAACCAAGTCTTCTCTAAATACAAATTGTATGTCCAGAACGGAGAAAATTCCAACGGAGGAGTGCTTGCTTTGATTCGGAGCGAAGTTAAATCAGTTAGAATTAATTGCGAGCTTCCAAATGTCTATGCTATAGACCTAGGCGAGGACGAGAGTTTAGTGAGGATTATTGGCGTCTATGCACCAGTCAGCAAAAGCTGGAAATGGGATAGTTTAACACTATTCGTCACTTCCAAATGCGCTATCTTCTCGGATTTCAATGTAGATCTAGAGGAGGACACGGCTAAGGCAGATTGTTTACTATCTTGGCCCGATTCAGTACAGCTTGTTTCCTTCATTCCCGATGTTCCAACCTCACTTAGATCTAATCGTATCATCGACTTTGCATTAGCTAGTGGCTTTTCAGTTTCAATCCAAACGTACGAAGAAGGTGGTACCTCCAGCGATCATAAGCCGGTCCTCTTTATCATTCCTTGGAACTCTAGGGAATTAAAGTTTGCGCGAAACATTCACTGGAAGTCTTCTATTTATTTTGTAAGTTCGTTTATAAGTTCTGGGAAAAGCGATGGGACTTGAATTATTTAGATGAAGTCTATAGTGACTATGTTTCCTTTCTTTCCCTTCTAACTGCTAGATGTACAATCTTGTTTCCTATTGGTAAATATAGGGTTGCCATTCTGCCTAGTCTCAGATCGTTTATGTCCCACACTCGAGCATTGTCTTTCAAACAAAAAAGAACAAAGGATATTGAATTGAAGAATATTGTTAAGTTAAGAAGGAGATTCACTAAAAATGAGTTGAAATTGTTTCTGACAAATAGATTTACCTCATCGATAGCCGCTCGAAACTCCTCTTCCCCATTGTCAGGGTCTTTTTGGTCTAGAACGAAAAAGTTTATGAAAAATTCTTCTGTTTCTCTCAACGAATTTTTGCTAAAAAACGGACAGGTGGTTAAAGATCCAGATGAAATGTGTGCTGAGGCAGCGAACTACTACGACGAATTCTTTAAAGAGCCTGAGATCGTACGCCCACATCCCTTTGTTGACAGTCTCAACGTAGAATGGGACAACTACAACGAAGAAATTCCCCTTGCTACAATTGAAGAAGTAGTTCAGATTGTGTATTCTCGAAAGAAGAAAAAAAACTGTGATGCAAATGGACTTTCCACCCTTATGTTTAATTCTCTTCCTGTGAATCATTGGTCCCTTCTCCTGAGGATTTTTAATCACACAATCGATACTAGTGTGGTTCCAAATAAGTGGAAAGACTCTCGCGTTTTACTACTTGCCAAAAAACAATCCATCTGCGACCTATTTCACTTTTAGATGTTTTCTCAAAAGTCAATGAAAAGTTATTCTTAGAACGTTTCTCTAGTGTCTTGAAACGTTGTAGTTTGTTACCTGACTCACAATCCGGCTTCCGAGAAAAGTTCAGACTTCAAACAAGAGTCTTATTATTTCTAGAAGAGATTTCTTCGTTGATGTTCAATAGCTGTCCAGTCAGTACTGTATTTGTCGATTTTAAGAGCGCCTTTGATACCCTCTGGCATCTGGGCTGTATTGGTAAGCTTAAACGAATGGGAATTCCAAAAAAGTATTTGAAATGGATCAAGGAGTGGCTTAGAGGACGTCGGGCGTTTATCGAAATAAAAGGATGCAGATCGAAATGATTATCAATCTTGAGGGGAGGTCCACAGGGATCCTGTTTCACCCCGACGCTCTTCATCTGCTATCACTCAGACATGGGCGATTTCCTCCAGTTCGGTACTTCTTTCTTTTTCGCAGATGATGTTGCCGCAGTACTTGCTGGCAACATCGGTGCTAAATACTCTAAACAGTGTATAGATCTAGAGAGAAGAATGAAATTGTTTCTTGATAATTTGGAATACGATGCTCTGTTGAATGTACAATCAATTAATTGGTCGAAAACCGAGGCTCTATGGTCCTCTCGAGCTATCGGCAATGCTAAATTTGAGATAAAATGTGGGGATATAAAAGAGGAAAAAAAAGAGTCAGGTGAGATCGCTATCAATTGGGTTAAAGAGTTCAAATACTTAGGATATTGGATAACACTCAAACTAGGCTTCGCAAATATGATTAAAAAGACGATGATGAAGATCTGACAAAGGATGGGAATGATGATCTCTTTCCGCTTATCCGGCTCCACCTCTATTCAGTTAAGAAAAGCGTTGTTCATGTCATATGTTCTTCCACTTTTTACTTGGCTTTTCCCTCTCTTCCCATTTTTCACACAAAGACAACAACAAGAACTCAACCATTTCTATTATACATGTCTGAGAAGGATCTGTCATTGTGTACACGTTAAGGATGAGTTGTTCTCATATATTTTCGACGAGATTTCTTTGGAAGATAGATGCCAGCGTTTTTGGAGAAAATATTTCATAGCATTGTCAGATACGGTTGATGGTAATTTAATCCTTCAGAAAGCTAATCTAAATGTATTTAGGGAGATTTGGCTGCTGAGAGAATGTCGTATTAAAGGATTACATATCTCAAAACGTTATGTAGAGCATCGTTCATTCTTAGAAAGAATAATATCCTGGTGTTCAGACCAAGTTCTTCACGAATCAACACCAAATTTCGAGATCGATGAGGCAATGACCCTCGCAGAGTTCCCCGAGTCCTTCTAGTCCGCTCGTGCGCGATATATAGTATTTAAACTAAAATGTAAATAAAATATTTTTGTCTTGCATTATTGTATCTTCCTATTCACGTTATTGTTAAATTTTAAAATGTTAAAGCAAAATATAATTCTTATTGTCAAGCGATTTAGTAAGAGATATTCTTCGTCCTGTGTATTGAACCTTCTACCTTTTTGTGTGCTTAATTCACTTTCTTTTTTTTGTGTACTGAACTCTGCCTTTTCCTTTCTTTTTTCGTGCTGAACTTTCTACTTTCTCTTTTTTTGTGTGTACTATCTTCACGCTATGTACTGTTAGGACCCGTAGGTCGCCAGTTTTGTGCAAATAAAAACAAATATTGTTGTTATGAAAATGTTTCTATTTCTGCAGTAGTATCCAACGTAAAAAAGTTTAGACTACAAGTGAAAAATTAGGGTACTGTGAAACTAAAAATTGATTAACTAGATTTAATTTCATCTCAAAATTCTTTTAAGAACAACAAATCGAACAAATTATGTTTAACATTCAAACATAATTTTTTGTGTATTAGAATCTAATTCAAAAAAAGGTTCATCATGTAGTGGAATGAGTGATTTATAAATAAAGTGGAGAACAGCAGACACTGAATCTACGAGTAGGAAATAGCGTTCGTTTCGAGTGAAGACGGTTGACGAAGCGTTGGTTTGCTTGTTTGTTTTTGGTGAGACACGTATTATCAACAAGACTCACACAGTATTTCATTCCCTGATTGACAGTATTAAAAATAAAATGCATAGAATTCGTACCATTTGTGTATTATTCAATTAATCAGGAATCAATAGATATCTTTGACCAAAAAAGAGAAATAAAAAATATTCTGTAAATCGGATATGTTATCTCAGCTTTTTTTTGAAAATAGAAATACATAAATTAAACAAAGATAAGAGCTCTAATTTAGATGTTCACTTGCTGTTAAGATAAAAATTTAAGAAGCACTTTCAATAGCAAAAATGAACTTCACATTTCTGAGCTTCATAGTAATGTGGCATATTTGAAAGTGATCATGTAGTGCCTGGATTCGAAAACTAGGCAAATGATCTTCTGATCTAAACCTCGTTCTTTTAATAGCTGTTCATCACATTTTTTGTGACACGAGTATTGATTAGAAAACTCTATTATAAGGTCTCTTTCGTGAGCTTATCTTGAGATTTCAATCTGTTCTTTATCCTCAAATAATTCCAAACTAAAAATTTGAACAGATGCATTTCAATTTGCATCGATTTATTTGGCATATCTTGTTCAACATTCACGGTCATCCTTCAACTATTCAAAGTGATCACTTCAAACGTGTCAAATACAACGTCACAGCAGTTTTAGATCAATGACATCAATCGATTATACGAATATTTAGTTTATAATATTGACGATAATTATAATGAATTTTTTTCTTCATTCATTAACGGATCAGTTTTTTGTCATATGAAGTTTCAACTTTCAATAGATATAATTGAGTTTTCCAGTTTATTTCATCGATTTACGTCTTACCTTTCGATTTTCTTTGATTATCTATTCTTTTCACGTATCAGACATTTGATCATCTTAAAATTATTGTAGATTATATGAACTTGGAACAATTTCGATAACTACACAAATAAACTATCTTGGTTTTCGACACAAATATAATTAATTTTCTTTCGTTTACATTAGGATTTATTTTTAATTGTGAAAATTATAAAATATTTGACATACAGACACGAATTACACTCAATTAAATACGGAGTCAAACATTATATGACAGAAAAGAAACATTATGACTTTTTTTGCACAACAACAATGATAGCATATGATTCAGCTATTACATGCACTTATCCTTGAGTTTTCATTAATTGTAAACGTATCTATTCATTTCCTCTTTTGCTCTCACTACTTTTTAAACTCATTTTTCCAATACTTTTTTCGTATTTTTCTCGTAACTGGACAAGTAAAATCGATTCATCTTTTTCATCGCTCTAAAGTTAGATGTATAAGAAAACATAATCTCTATGATTAAAATCTACTTTGATTGAACTTATAGTCATGGAGTCATCTGAAAAAGAAATTTGAGTCAAATGGATGATTTGTAGTTAATGTCTGACATGAATCGAAACTAGATAATAAGCTAGTTCCACCGAAGATGTTCAGCGATCAACGCGTGTCATATGTTGGTAATGATGTTGAATGAAATTGGGGTGAAACTAATTGATGATTGACGGTAAGCCTTGAAAACTTGATAGAAAAAGAGATTTTCTTGTATGCAGGATCAAAGCAGTTTTTTTCGATTTTCGGTTTAAAATGATCACTACTATTGAACAAAGATGAATTTCAAAAAACTGTTCCTACTATTTCTAGATAAAAGATTTTTCTTCACTTTGAAATAAATTTCAACATTTTCCATGCTACCACGCCTCGGGAAAATGTTCCATGGCAAAAGCCCCATTTTCATAAGTAAATTGAGTATAACTCCTCAATTATCAAAAATGATTGGTTCAAGTTTTTATCAGATGCTAGTTACATTAGCTTTTTTATTTCCTGAAGCTTTCATCGAAATCTCTTGGATCATTTAGAAGATAGGTTTCGGAGTGGGGGTTCCCCCTTAAATTGATGCGTGTCTTCATTTATGATTGACTGCAACACCCAAGACAAAGAGTCTCATAGGAATATTCGAATAATCTCATAACTTCCGATCAGATTTTGCTGCTTTTTACAAATAACTACCCAAGAAGCAGATAGTCATTAACGTGAATGGCTGTATACGACGTCATAAACGATCGAATGTAAAATATTAACTTATCAACAAATGTTGCTTTAGAAACTAATCTAAATAAGAAAATGTTTAAATTATAAGGTAACCGGTTATCAATAGACGCTATGTTTTCGTTAATACTAAATAGAAAAGATATTTTATTATAAGAGATAATCATTTTGGCCTTGTCTATACTAAAAAAATAATTTGATATTAATCTCGAATTAAATCTACATGCGTTCACACTTATCAATTTAATACGTTAATCAGAACTGAGAAATGGTCATTATAATGTAGTCGAGGTACATTATTCTAGCACATGTTCACGAAGAAAACAATGTCACTTGTCTTTATCATTATTCCTTATAGTTCATCGTATTGAGAACATCTATCTATCGATAATATAAAGCGATTTTATCGAGATTCGTTCATCATTTTGATTAGTGGATCGCAATCGTTCTCGATTAGTGCATTAAATTTAATTCACCTATGAAAAGTACATTAAATCTGAATTAACTTTTAGACCAATCAAGTTTCTTAATGTGGTATTATATTTTCTAGTGTAATCAGTAGATATAGCAGTAGTCTAGTAAGGTCAATCTACTCTTAAAAACGTGCATTTTTCTGGCACTTTTTATTTCTCTTCCAGTATGCTATGTACAAATATTTCATTACAAAAAATTTTTAAAATATCTTCTGTTTCTTCTAATAATCAGAAAAGACAAGATTCTATATGTTAACTGTCATTGGATCCTATCGATTCCTGCTGTCAACTGTTATCACTTTTTGGAAATAAAACTTTACGGCATCTAATAATTGAATAGTTTCGGATTGTTTAATGACCCGATCGGACGGTTATCAACTTGAACAATCAAAACTGAGAATGTGTCTCAGCTATATATATATAACACAGAAAAACTACAAACTACTACAAAATGAGATGCCGTTGTATTTATCTTAGTAATATATGAGTTGTCGATATCAGACATCGAATAATTAATTCTCTTGTCTAAGAGGTGTCGCATTTACAGAAATTCAGAGATGCTGAAGAAGTGCACGGAGATACGGTAGATGCAAAACTATCTATTAATAGATGATTACATTATATGTGCATATATGAATAAGAAAATTATTATCCCGATACTACTAGCCCAAAATTGTGATAAATTTAATTTTTGAATTCAAAATCTCAATGAATATGTGCAGAGCTTGAAATTATCTATGGATAGATTTGTATTTTCGCATTTTATGCTACATGTCTAAAATATTCTCAAATAAACACTGTATCAGGTAGAAATTTATTTGGAAATAATATTTTAAAATTCTTTATAATGTTTTGCAATATTATCAGATATGGCAGATGTCCTATCTTGCAATTTTGATTGTTGTGATGAAACAAGAAATTGAGAACTGTTGTTCGTAGGAAAACGAACTCGAGTAAATTAAGAAATCATCTCAAACTATAGGTTTTTGCTAGATCTGTAGATGAACGACTCCACGGTACCTACGCTCTTTAATATATTCTGTTAATTATACGAATTAGTGTAGAGGATGTCGTTCTTCTGCAGTTCTATTCTATTAATTATCTAGCAGTTTGCATACGAATTTTTGAAAAATTTAGACAGGTCTTTGACCATGGTGATGGTTTTTTGCTCAAATTAATATGATGGATCTGTCTTGAGAAACAAAGTCAACACCATTTTTAGTGATTTTTGTTTTTCGACGATCATCAAACTAAGTATTTATGTAATTGTGCATATTGAATATGATCGAAACTTTTCAAATGAACATAAAGCAATAGTTAAATATTGCTTGTTCAAGTATTGGATATGACACCAGATTGACATGAAAGAATTCTTGTGATAGATTTATTCGTAAAACTATCCAAAACTTGCAATGCTTATATAAATATGTCGAGATATTGATCATCTTCTACATAAATGATTCAATTTTTCAAACAAATTCGAATAAAAATCATATGATTTCAATCGAACATGTCAAAAAGAAGAATTTCGGTATATTCTTCGAAAAACTGATGTGAGTTTATATAATGTTTCATGTTTAATAAATGTTTTAAAAGAAAGAAAAAAACCTCTATTCCGTTTCTGTTTGTATTCATCGGGTTTCAAAGAAAATTCTTTGATGATTTTTGAACGATTTGTTTTCTTTTTAATCAACAATAATAAAGTTTACTCTCTACTTTAGTTGATGCCTTTTGAAACATAACGATAAAAATATGAAAATAAAAATGAAATATTTGAAATAATATTTCTATTGATCATATAGAAATAATTAAAAACTAATGTTTGTCAATTGATTGTTAATTCTTTTAAAATGACTTCAACTAAAAAATTTATCCAGATAACAAATAAAATAAACAATTGAAATATTATTTTTAACAATAAATTATTCTCATTAATAAATTTAAAAAATGAATTTTTTCTTGAAGAATAGTTTATGAAAAAAATTTTATTTTCAAACGTTGAAATAAAGATAATGAACGAGTTATAATAGAAGCTAACCATGGTGTTAACATTAAACTTAATCCAATACGTAATGGTAGAAAAATTTTAACAATAGCATATGTCATTGAAAGATTAATTAAAACTAATGATGATTCATCTAATGGTTTAAAACCATATCGAGTTCGAATACGATTTATCTTTTTATTTCCTTCTAAAAAACACAAAAAGAAAAAACACGTAAAAATAAATAATATTTTATTTAAAATAAATAATTTAACCTTGAATATATTCAATTGGAATAGGAAGATATTCTCCAAAACGTGACCATTTTAATGGAAAATAAATTAATGGAAATGGTATAATAGCAGTTACTTCATGTAAAATAGCAAATGCAGTTATATGAGATGCTGGACGTTCTTTTAAACGATCCAAATATCGACGCCATCCTCGTTGATTGCTCTTTATTGTTAAATATCGTCGAAAAATTAATCTTTTCATCTAAAGAATAAAATCTTTTTTTTTTTGTATTTTATTGATCTTATCAAGTTGTTTAGGGTATTTGAAGATGTTTATGGTTTAATTGATAAAGAATTATTACGACGAAGATTATATTTATTTCTAACATGAATAGATTTTATTCATTTTAAATGATGATATTCATCGGACTCTTATTCCTTTTAATTCATTCAATAAATAGTCAACAATTATATGAATGTGATTTTGATTATGAACAAAAATGTCTTTTGGGTCTTCCATCAATTTCATTTATTTTATTAAATGAAACAAGTGATGAACCACAACAACCAGTATCAGATGTTTCTGCAATAAGTTCGAAATATTTATTTATATTTTTATTTTATTTTATTTTATTTTTAATAAATAGAAACATCAAATGATATAGGAGAATGTTTTTTTCCTTTTCAATATAATTTATTTGATATGTTTTTTTGTGAAAAAACTGATCCGAATTTACCATCAACTTGTCCAACATTGAATGCAAATGGTCCAAGAATTAATTGTACTGAAGGTTGATTACTTTAAATAATAAAAACATATTTTCTTATTACACTTGTTGTTGTTGTTTTTTGTTTAAGGTGAATATGGATATGAAAAATTTGAAATAGGACAAATTGGATCACGTTCATATAAACTTGATTTAACTTCTGATTTATCATATGGTGAACATTGTATTCGATTTTATTATTATTTATCTAATAATTATTCAAATGGATCAATAAATGTTATTGTTGAAGATAGTCAATCGAATCAAAATCAAACAGTAGTTATTGCTTATTTGCGTCTGGAAAATCGATGGCATGAAATAAGAGAAAATTTTTATATCGAAAATGAAAATCCAACAGTAATTTTTCTTCTTCTTTTTTCTTTGGATTTCTAAAACAAATATTGTATTTAAGATATATTTTTTATTTACACGAGAATCTTCATTAGATTTCGATCCATTTTACCTAGCAATTGATGATATAACTATTATCGATATTGAATGCGGTATCGATTTTATTTATTTTTTCACGTTTTTTTTTTAATTATTTTTCATATAATTGTTTAGAACCTATTATTACTACAACAATAAGTACAAGTCAACATAGTGTAAGTCTCTATTTAAATTCTGAATTTATTAATAACTAAACAAATTGAAACTAGTTTGAATTTTATTTCTTAATTGAAATTAATTAATCAAATTTAATCTAAAATTGAATTTGAATTTGAATAATTATTTTCGATTTAATATATATTTAATTTAAAAAAAATCAAACAATATAATTAATAATCTATTCAATTAATTCATCAATCATATCATATAGATATATAATCAAATAAAAAAACACAAACAAAAAAAATATATCGATTTGAAAAATAGTTTTGTTTTTTTAAATATTTTATTCTATTCATTTGTCTTTAACTAAAACACAAAAAAAAACTCTCATATCAATATTGTTATTTATTGAAAATAACAAATCTATATAAAGATCTCAACTTATTTTTTATTTATTATTAATTAATTAAATTATTTAAAAATAATTTTATTCAAAATAAGACATCAACAACAACAACAAGAGAAACTAGTATAACAATAACAACATCAACGATTTTATCATCAACAACAACTATTATTTCAACTAATAGATCAACATCATCACCATTAACTAGTTCATCAACAATTAAAACAACACCAACTTCTTCAACTCCAATGACAACAACGAGATCAACAACTTTAGTTAATGCAATTAATTCAACAAATTCTTCAACGACATCATATTATACAACAACTATTACTCAAACATTAACTACTTATGTAAGTTTTATTTCAAATTCTTCCTATTTTATTTTATTTTTATTTAAAAGACATCTCATGGACAAACTTTATCATCAAATCAAAGTAAATAAAATGACTATTTTTTTTAAATTTAATTTAACAAATAGATTCAATCTATAACTAAACTTTATTATTCCAGAATTAGTCTATTTCAATGACATAAGTCAATTATCGATTTTATTAATTAGTTATACATATTTATCTCGATATATATAACACTCAATACTCTTCACATTTAACTATACCCTATTAGCTATTTATATAGAAATTTAGTTTTTTTCTCTATTGAATAGGATATTACAATATAACATTAAATAGATAGTTTTCCTTACAGATATATATACACATATCCTATGAAAAATAGTGATTCGATCGATTTGTTCATAATTTAATTGTGAAAATATCGATCGATATTACAAAATTGATAAAAAAATTTTGAATAAAATTGAATGAGTTCTGATCAAAAGGATAATTCCTTAGATAAAACTAACAAATCTATTTTGAATGAATAGAAATAATCAAGTTGATCAATATCAATGAAAATATATTCGAGAAAATTAAATTAGTGTCGATTAATTTAATTTCAATAAAACATTTTCACTGATTTATAAATATTATTCGAAAACGAAAGACATATATTAACAATATATGAACATAATCACTCGAAAACTCAATAGAATTATATATTAGTTTTCAGCCCTTTGACAGTTCAATTGAATAATATTTAATTTAATATCGACAACTCATTGTTCATAAAATGAACAATCAATTTATTTTCTTATTCGTCTTATTATATTTATTATATAAGCGAAGAATATTATCGAAAAAAGAAAAACATAAGACAAGAAGAATATTTTGTTATATTGTTATATGTCATTCAATAGAACAAACAAATATATTTTCATTTGAAATATTTATCTAGTTAAACAAGTTGAGCAAGAGAGATAATTACATAATGCTCTTCGATGATCGATAATAACGAATTTTCAGTTAGTCATACGAATCAAGACTGAAGTCGAATTGTCGAATTCGAATATGAATCTATTTCTAACATCTCAATTGATTAATCGAATGAAAAAAAAAAAAAGAAAGTGAAGTTCGAGATTGAATCCATTTCATCAGTCAATCCAAATCTACCTATTATCTATCATTTTTGTTTTGTTTTTCTAAAGAAGTTTATTTAAATTTTTCTTTTTAGTTCAATCATATTTATTATCAATTATTATGTTTATTATCTTTTTTTTCAAACTATTTTAAAAAACTTTTTTTAAATAATATTTATTAAATACAAAAATTATTTGATAAATAAAACTAATTATATTAAACAAGCTAATTATATTATTTATTATTTAAATCAATTATTTAGATTAAAAACAAAAAAAAATATATTCAATGGCACAACTTCAAGTGACTGTTGTTGAAGGAAGAAATTTAAAAAAGAAAGATTTATTTAGTGAAAGTGATCCATTTGTTCAAATATATCTTGATGATAAAAAACAAAAACAAAAAACAAAAGTTATATCAAATACAAAAAATCCTTATTGGAATGAAACATTTGTTTTGTAAGATTCTTTTTATTTATTTTTTGTATTTTTATTAATTAAATATTGTATAATTAAAATAGTAATCATTTACAAGGACAAGATATTCTTCATATTGATGTTTATGATAAAGATTTAATAATTAATGATAAAATTGGTTCATTAAAAATTAATTTACAAGATTTATATAAAAAATGTTATTTTAATATATATTATTTTATTTATTCTTCTATATATGTATATTTATTATTTTAGGTCATATTGATAATTGGTATAATCTTCCATCAAAATTTGGTATATCATCAAATGGTTTTATTCATCTTATACTTGATTATCAACCACTTAGACTTTAATTAATATTATTAGTTAAATGTGATATATTATAATTGATGTAAATAAAAAAAGATATATATATATATATATAGGTAAACTGTTCTATTTTATTTGAAATAGTCAAATATTGAATCCAATGAAATATATGATAGTTAACTTTAGAGAAAAAAGATCTTTTTGTTTTATCTTAAATTGATAATTCTTATTGAATTATCTTGCTAAAATGAATCTAATGAACTGGGATCAATATCAATAAATTGAATATTCTAGAAAAAAGAAAAAAAACTAATTAAACATAAAAGAGAAAATAAAAAAGAGAAGATAGAAACAGCATTTTTTTGAATAATATTTAATCGTTTAATGTGTTGATGATTATAGATTGAAATGGCAGTGTCTTTTTTTTTTCAACTCTTCCAGTTCTACCAGATCGATGTACATATGATTCCCAGTCGTATTCACATTGAATAATTATGTTTTTTTTTAGTTTTTGATAAAAATAAGTGAAATAATAAAAACTTGTGGTGATGAAGTAAGAATAACAAGATCAACTTGTGGAATATCAAGACTACGTGCTGAAACATCTGTTATTATTAAAAGACAAATTTTACCTTGAGAAAAATTCTTTTGAATTAAAATAAAAATAATTTAAATAGGAAAAAAAAGAAGTGTATTTAATTATAGTTAATTACAGGTAAAACTTGTTCTCGTTTATATTGTGAAAGAGTTCGATTATTAATATCTGATGATATTGATTTGATTGTGGTAAAGATGAGATTCTTGTTTTGTTTGACAAAAAAAAAAACAATAACTTGACTATAATTAATATCTTTTGAATATTTTTTAAAAATTTAAAAAATCATATCTGCTCTTTTTGAAATATTGTTTAATTTAAATGATAAATGTTGAACATTGATTGCTGGTTTTTCTTATTGATAATAAATTAAATTAATAAAAGATGATTTATTAATTGATATATATAACGTGAAAGACTTTTATTTTTAACCATAATGGAATTGTTACAGAACAAAAACAATCATTTGACTTTTTCTTTCATTTTCAAATACTTTTTTTTTTTATAATAAAATCTACATCATCCTAAAATAAATTTTATTTTAAATCAAATTAAAAAAAAAACCAGTAAATAAATCTAGTTGAAATCCTATATCAATAATTCTCTAAACTTCATCTAAAACAATTATTTGACATTGATGAATATATAATATATTCTTATTAATAAAATCAATAATTCTTTCAGATGTTCAAACAACAATATCAGAACCTTTTTTTAATGATAATTCTTATTTCGAATATTGTTTTCCACTATAAAGTGTTGTTATTGATAATAAACGATATATTATTGATAGAAAATCATTTCTAACTTGTTTAGCAAGTTGACATGTTGGTTCTTTCTTTATCATTTAACATATTTCGTTTAATATAAATAAATAATTACTTTCGATTTATTCTTATTATAATATCATTAAATAAATGACCTAGAAAATATAATCGTTTACACATATTTTACTATTTAAATATTTATTTTCAACAATCAACTAAAATCGATGATCGATATTATTATATGAATGAAATGTATCGATAGATTTGATATGCACCGACAAAACAAAACTAATATAAATTTTTATAAATAGATGTCATTAGTTAATAATCAATTATTATTTAAATAATGTTAAATAGTAAATCGTAAATATTCAATATTAATTAGAAAATAAAAAAAAGGTATTATATAGACTAGATTTTAAAATATTCTATCTATTAGTTGATTATCATTTATAAATCTATGTTATTTTATTTGATTAAAATATTTGAAAATAATTAGAAAAATTTATTAAAAAAATATTTAATTAAATTCATATTAAATATAATAAATCGAAGATATTTTATTTAAATCTGTTGAATAGGAAAAATAGATTATAATAAATGACTAGAAGAAAAAAAATTCGATTAATATATATGAATATGAATATAATATATTAATAATAAATCAACAATGATATTATATATGATAGTCAAAAAGATAGTAGAAAAATTTTTTGACATACGATAATTAATCGTTTGTTTTTATTTAACGTTTTATTTTCAATAAAATAAAACAATTTTAATATAAATCTATAGATATTTAAAAATATTCAATTGATTTAAAATAAATCAAATTAAATAAATAATATTCAATAAGTTTTAATTATCTTGTTAACTTTACCAAATAAATCTGTAAAAATAAATCATTCGAATAAAATAATATCTAATTAATCATTTATTTTTTCTTTTTCTTTTTCTTTTTCTTTTTCTTTTACTTTCTCTCTTGATTTTCCTTGAGAAAATATTCTCTTACTTAGTTTTTTTCTTCTTCGTCAATTAATAGAAATTAGATTTTTTGTTTTTTTGTTTTTGTTTTTATTTAAATATATCAGAGAAGAAAAATGTAATTTTATGTTTATATTTAAGATAAATAAATGGGTCAATTAGAAGTAACTATTATTGAAGGAAAAAATTTAAAACAAAAAGATAAATTAAGTGAAAATGATGCTTTTATTGAAATATATCTTGATGATAAAAATCAAAAACAAAAAACAAAAGTTATTAAAAATTGCAATAATCCAATATGGAATCAATCATTTGTTTTGTATTTTATTCATTTATTTATTTATTTATAATAGAATAATATATTTAAATTACGTTTTTTTTTCGTTTTTAGTAATCATTTAAGAGGACAAGATACTCTTCATATTGATGTTTATGATCACGATACAATTCGAAATCAAATAATTGGTTATATTCAGATTGATTTACGTTATTTATATCAACAAGGTTTTTATAATATATGTTATATAAAGAGATATTAGTTTTTAAATTTATCTTAATATATTATTTTAAATAGGTCATATTGATGATTGGTTTTTTGTTGAAGATAAACAAGGTATTAAAACAAATGGATTAATTCATCTTACTCTTGATTATGGAAATCTCAAAATATAATACCATTTTAACATCTTAATATATTTATTTATCTATTAGAAATAAACATTTCTTTTTTAAATATATATTGATCAACAATCGATTTATATAAGAATAATATATTCGATTTTAATTAAAAATAAATTCAACTTTATTTTAGCAACAATCGTATTTTTATTTTATTACAAAAATCTTTGAAACGTTTTGTTTTTAATCAACTAAATGATTTATGAAAGAATTTCAATAGTTAAATATTCTCGAATATATTTTAAAGGAAAAACAGAGAGTCATTTTATTCTTCGAATTTCGACTATTTTTATTTATTCATCAATTAATAAATGTATATTGTTCGAAATGATTATGATTGGTTATAAAAATCAACAAATAATATTAATGTTTATTAATATCAATGAATGCGAATATAATAACCATTAAAAATAAAATAGCTGATCATATCATATCATATAATATATAGAAAATGATATAAATTATTGATAAAAAAATATTCTATGATGAAAATAAATTGACTGATGCATTTATCTTAGATCTTTTTTCAACCATTTTAATTGGAGATATTTATTGACATTAATTATAAGCATAACGTAATTACATCGAACATAGTTACATTAGAGAGTTTTTAAAAATAACTAGCCTCATATCGATAATAAATAACAAGAGAGAGAGAGAATTAATTCTATAGAGAGTTTTTATTTTCGAAATCTATTAATTAATATATTCTAGATATATATGATTTATATTCTATTTAATTATTTTTAACAAAAGGCTAAATTTGAATTAGATTTATAAATAAAGATAAAGAAAATCAACTAAAACTCCTATGTATATTTGAATTAAAAAAAAGAAAAAAAAAAATTAATAAAAATGAAACGATCATTTGAAGAAAAAGATGATTTATCTGAAAAAATCGCATTATCTTGTTATAATAAATATAATCAATTATCATCTCGTGGAAAAGCATCATCAAATGAATGGACTCATTTAGCAGCTTTTGTTTCAGTTAATGAATTTAATCAAATCGATGTTATTTCAATAGGTACAGGTACAAAATGTTTATCTGAAGATATAAAACAAAGTGAAAGACAAGGTTGTTTATTACATGATTCTCATGCTGAAGTTATTGCACGAAGAGCTTTATTAAAATTTTTTTATCAAGAAATAATTAATGATAATAAGAAAATTTTAATTAAACAAGATAAATATAAATATTATTTAAATAAATCAATTAATTTATATTTATTTATATCATATCCACCATGTGGAGAAGCTGCTTATTTATCTGATCCAATAAAAAGACCGAAATTTGAACATAAATCTTTAAATTCAAATCAACAACAACAACAACAACTTTATTTAAAACCAGGAAAAGGTCATCCAACAACAAGTCTTTCATGTACGAATAAAATAAATCGATGGATTTATCAAGGTTTGGTTTTTTTTTAAAATATCTTTGTTTTTATTTTTTAATTTAAAAAGAATTGAAATAGGTATTGAAGGAACTCTTTTAAATCAAATTATTCTCTCACCTATTCAATTAACTGGTTTAATTATAAATACAGATAAAGATTTATCATCAATATTTCCAAATGTAAATGTTTATTCAGTAAATAAACCATTTGAACATGGTCCATCATCACAACGAATTCGTCCTTGTTCAATGTCAATTGCCTGGTGGTCAGATCTACCATTATCATCTTCTATTGTTACTGTTGATGGATATTCATTAGGATTAATTAAAAAAAATCGACATAAACAAGAATATGCAAGTCCATTAGCTAAATCTTCTTTGTTTAAACATTATCTTAAAATAATCGATTATTTATCATCAACTGAAACAACTTATGCTTATGCTAAATCTCTTTCATCAAATTCCTTAAGAGATCAATTTATCTCAAATAATCCTCAATGGATAACAACTGATCCAAACATTTTTTATTCATTTACTATTAGCTCTTCTTTAACAACATCATCTTAATTAATCAAACATTTTAAATAAACAAAGTTTTTTTCTTTTATTCTAGATATTTTTTTTTTTTTTCATTAAGCTTCTTTAATTACATTTTATTTATTATTGTTGTTATTATTTATCTTTAAATTAAGTCAAACAAGACTATAAATCAAGTTATCTATCATCTAATATATATCTTAAATAGAAAAAAAAGCAAATTTTTATTTTTTCTTAATTAAATAATAAACAGATATTTTTTTAGATTTATTTATTTAATCGAATATTCAATTATTCTATAACAAACTTAAATGAAAAATAATCTTTTGAAAAAAAAGATGCTTAATTAATTGACATATTCATTCAATAAAAAAATAATCTAACACTTTTATTATTTAGGAAATAATTATATTTGCAAACAATTTTATTAACTGAAACAATTTCAATTATTTAATTGACACAAAATAAATAATTTAGCTTAAAATTTGACTAGATCGAACAATAAAAAAGAATAAAATTAATATTTCTTGACGGTGTATAAGCCACTGAATAGTATTTATTTAAAAAGGATAAAAAATGATTAGTCAATCAATGAGCTCGAGTTAACCTGTCCTTGAAAAAAACTATTAAATCATCAAAGAATATTTTTGAAAACGAAATATATTAATAGAATTGAAGAAGATAAATATTGTATCTAATTGAGTTATAGAATAATTTACTAATTTAAATAAATCTATTTAATATATAAGATTTATTTAATTTGAATTTATTTTTTCTTTTGAATAACTGATCATATTCTATTAGAAAAAGAAATACTTTATTTAATATAATTATATTATCAATCAAATAATCGAAACGAATTAAATTATTTCGATACCACCCGGTCAGACAAAATTTTTCAAAAACGCGTTTAAGCACCTAAAAACTCAATTAGTGAGCGTTTTTGGGCGTTTTTAAAAAACTCGTCATGTAAACCTCAACTATTTTATTTTTAAGTAAATGAAAACTACTAAAACATCTACAGCCGTTTTATGTATCCTAATAAACGATTGAAAAATCTACATCCAATGCGTTTTAACGCTTATTTTGTTTGGAACGCGCTTTTTGCATAGAAATTCCGTAGTTTCAGACGTTTTTCATTAACAATGTTCTTTCAGTGTTCGGAACGTTGAATTATAGACGTTAAATTTTATATAAAATAATATTTTTTCGAGTGTGAATCTGCAATTTTTTTCTTAGTTTTTCTATATGTAGAAAGATACCTTGATAACTCAAAAAAATTAAAGAATACGATGGCTATTCAACATCAAAATTTTCCTTTCGATTAGTTCTGTATATTTATAAACGTTTGCACGCTTACTATATCATATCAGCATTATTTGAATGCGGTTCCACACGGTAAATCAATAAATTCCTATAGATTAAAAGGTGAAGAAATACTGATGTGTTTAAATGACCAAAATATTGTGTTTCCGGGTGTGAGTGTGGGCTGTGGATATGAGTAAACAGAAAAACCCCAATACACAGCCAAAACCCTACCCACACCCACCCAGATGTTAGCGAATGCCGTATCCGGCAATCGGAAACAACGGTATACTAGACAATGCATGTACCGCCAAAAGGCAAAATCAAAACAGTGATTCTTTCTGCTCATTAACCAAAAGCAACGTCCTCTGACAGCTACTCCATAAATTAGAACTCACAAATCACATGACCGGACATCATATCACAGTTACACAAGAAACAACAGACTCCGATAAAAGGAACCTTCACAACATCCATACGAATGCTTTTCAACAGACTAAAACATCATGTCAACATAACCAGAAAAAAAGGAAACTTCCACTGTGGCCAGGTCTTTGCTCAACTTCATTTAGGTATGCACCAGTCCCAGTCGGACTGGGTGTCCAGTTCTAACTGGTAACCAGTCGGATCAGTTCCAGGCAGGCTAGTATCCAGCCCCACTCGATACAAGTCGAACTTGGTACCAGTCGGACTGGAACTGGTGCACTCCTAACTCCATTTCACCGATTCAACCCCCGAATTCTATATCTCCTTAAAGGGCAAGGCAGGGACCCCCACATATACCCATCAATCGATAGAGCGTCTCCAACAACCCTAGGATTGGCCCGAACATGCTTAGTACATGTCCGTATAATAAGAAAGAAAAGTCCCCCTGAAATTTGATTGGACGTTTTGTATTGATCAATGGAAACCCGGAATTCGATTACTGCACGAAGGACTGGGAGGGGGGACCTATGCATGAGTCGATAGAGTTTCCCCAACAGCCATCGGATTGGCCGGATTATGGCCACTGGATCCGACTATAGGACAGCTGAAAAGTCGTTGAAAGTCAGACAGTATCATTTTGATCATGTTGTGGTGTCTTTGTCGGCCGTATGTTGCATAGCGGAATGTCGGGGTGAAATTTTTCGGGCATTTTTAATGTCGATGGTTAAGTGTACGGCCGTTTCTGATCGTCGTAGTGTTCGATCTGGGTAGTGGTTTGTTTGGGACACTGAGATCTCTAGAGGAAATGAACTCGAGTTCGCTATGCGTGTGGTTCACACTTCTGAGTGATGATATATTGAATGGTGGTTGAAAACTAGCGTTTGTACGGACGCTTGTATCAGTGGATGTTGTTCGACAGTCGCTGTTTCCGACTGCCAGTGAAAAACGCGTGGAAAATCAAGGCGTGAGAGGTTTAAGTGGGATAAACGTTGAACCAATTAGAATTTGATCGGGTCAGAAAGTGAGCGTTTCCACGCCTATATTAATAGAACATGTTTGGTTCACAATTGCGGTTCCCGATTGTGACCCATTAACGTTTCGGAAAGATTGTCGAGAATGAGGCGTTTTTTTGTATACGTTTAGGTGGTCAGAAAAAGTTTCGTTTTCGGTGGAGTGAAAATAGCGCGCGTTTAATTTTTTTGCGTTTTCATGATGTAGTTTATTGGTCGTTTGCGGGTAGCAATCGGGAATCTCAAGTGGCATACAAAAACGATCTTGAAAAGTATAGTGTTTAAACAGGTTTTTGAAAAATCTTGTCTGACCGAGC